CTTTATGATTACTGGAAATCTAAGATGCGAAAATAACTTACAGTGACGAAAAAAATGAAGCAAGGAACCTTACAATAGAAGAACATTTTCAGCAATACAGTGTAATAGTTTTTTGAATTTCTACTTTGTAAGCGATAAAGAAAAAAATCTAATTTACTTCAAAAACAAAGCGAATAGCTAAGATTTAAAAAAAAGGTTTCTTTTTCTGCCGCAATTTTCCTCATTTCAAAAAGACGAAAGTATATTTGCCTGTTATAGCTAAGGTAGTCTCTAATATGATAGTGAACAACAAAACAATAATTAAATTCTTTGTTTTTGAAAGAAAGTTCATTTTGGTAGGAAAAAATAATGGCCATATTCGAAATCAACAACTCGGAAAACTCCTAACTGAAAGTTTCCATCCGAATTCGTTAATTTACACTGAACTTCCATTTCGAATTACTTCCAAATCACTCATTCCTGGCGTGCGCATTCCGGCAAAGGAACGTTAATCTCTATGAGGATGCGCGCATCTCGCTGGATTAAGGGCGGGACTTTTGATGTCTCAAGCGCAGCTTATGGTACTAATTAGTGCGCAGCGAGACTCCTGACAGCTGATCTCCTATGGATATACGTGATATACGTACCCTCGCTCAAGACTCCATCATACAACTGGGTTCAGTTCTAGTTTTTTTTTTTCCGATCATAGATACCGTATGACGCCTGTCTTCTTACTCTTAATCCTCACTATCATCATTGAGCTCTTGGTTGGACCTATAGATTTCTTAAAAGTTTGAATTGCTCTTGGATACACACACCACACACACACACACACACGCACACAAACACACACACACATACACACACATACACACATACATACACACACATGCACACATACATACATACATACATACACACATACATACATACACGCACATGCACACACACACTCACACACCCACACACATACACACACATACATACATACACACACATATACATGCACATGCACACACACACATACACAGACACATGCACACACACACACATGCACATACACACACACACACACACGCACACACACACGCATACACACACATACACTCACATACACACATACACACATACACACATACACACACATACACACATTCACACACATACACACATACATGCACACATACATACACACACATGCACACACACACACACACACATACACACATGCACACACATACACACACACACAGCATTTATTGGGCGACATCTCATGGAGAATCGTTGAACTCTCTCTAGTGTTTACAATTTTCATGTGTTGAAGATGATGACGCAATCACTCCTAGATTTACTCATTTTCTGGACGTAATTTTTTTTACTATTTAATGTACTATAACTTTATATATCCAGACTATAAGGTACAATGGACCTTCTTTAAGAGAACCAGCGCGTTGCGCATGCTACAACCAACTAATCTGTCAGCTCCCACACTGAGCTAAAACGAGCTGCGCGGTGCGACTGATTATCCTGCAAATTCTAGGATGGTGATTATTCACCGGGGGCTAAGGTAAATAGTCTGTCGGCGGAGAAATGGACAAAAGGGAGTAAAACTCTTAATTACAAGAAACTCGTAAAAGGGTAAAAAATTAGCTGAGATGGTTGAAGTGCGTAGTGCGGCAATAAGAAAAAAATAAAGCGATTGCCGTTTACTTCTCTTAGCGCATCCGCAATTCTAGTAATAGCAGCATCATGAAGTCTAGTAGGATTAGAAATTCAAAAAGGAAGACTTTCAATTTGAAGCCTAATGTGTTTACTAGTTTTGAACAGCATCACAACTCGACAAGCATAATCATAAAATGTGGCTGCAACTTGTCATCTTGATATTTCTATTGGCTTACACCAATCACCAAAATGTAACCATTTCAAAAAAGACGGTAAGTTGCACACCGTTCTTTTTCTTGCGCCGTCAGGTTGACGAAACGGTCGTTATGTTATGTTGCTCAACAATTTCAAGAAAACTCTTTACTGATAGATAGTAAAGGTTATTGGTAATAATTTGCTAACTTATTATTGTTTTTCTCTGATAGATATGTTGTAGTCAATCTTAAATATTTTGCGTAATCGACCTTACTCTCTTCGGTTTTATGTTAGGTGACAATACACAGTTGTTAAATCTCGATCGCAGAGTTTTCGGTCATTTCTTAATTATGCACATATAATGCAACTTCATCCTTTTTAAAGTATCTGCCACTCTTA